GTTAGGAGGGTTTGTTGATAACTAAAAAAGAAATGTGTGCGTGTGTGTTTTTTTATGTATATTTACATGTGAAAGCATAGACATTTGGTGATTAAATTTATAATTATATTATGTCATTTAGGGTTGAATGGTGATAGTGATGATAAATTCATGAGTTTTATAAGTGAACAAGATTTGGTTGATTTTATTTATCGTTTAAAGATTGTGAATTTAATTGTGTTCTGTTAGTATTTTTTTTTTTGCTTGAGGTATTTATTACATGAAGATATGGTGGATTAGAAATATAGCAATTGAGATTATAATTAAGTTGTATTATTGGATTGAGTGGTAGTAAAAGTGATAAATTCGTGAATCTTATAAATGAGCAAGATTTTATTTATTACTTAAAAATTGTAAAATTCAATAGGTTATGTTAGTATTTGTTTTTTTTTTAGAGACATTTGTATATATGGTGTTGTTTTAGGGAATTGTTATATATTTTTATGGCAGTTCCATTAATATGAAGGATATGATCGACGATGTATTTCAAGCCATTTTAAAAGAATAATTGATATGAATATTTTTAAGTCATTCTTTTTTAATTTGGGTAATTATTTAAGATTTTTTTGTTAGTTGTATAGTGCCTTCAGGCACAGACAATGACTAGTTCTTCAAAATTAGATCCAAGCCCAATTAACCAGACACAAAAAGAATCTATAAACAACTAAAACAACAATTTTTAGTCTCCTAAATGTCTTCAAATTAAGAAAATATTAGGCAAAAAACACACAGAAAGAAAAAGGGTAGCCTTGAACTTACTTGAACCAACCTTACGAATCTTTGTCATCAACGACTAGAAATGGGACGTCAAGATCAGAGAATAACCCTCCGACAATATTAAAATCTCGGTGCAAGTCGTGCTTAAACCCTTAAAGTGACAGATTTTCATATACACTGGGAAGTTGAATCATTGAGGACAACACTAGAATGAAAAGCTAGGTCGGATATCTAGATCTGAATTCCTCTTTGTTGCTGATCACATAGGCAGAAGCTCTTGACCTCCAAGAGAAGTACATTGCCTTTAGGGAAACCTATAGAGATATAAACATATATAAAATAAGCGTGAACGGTTGAGATTACAAATCTTGATATATAAATCTAGTTTAGATTTGCAAATTTAATTCATCATCTCAAACCCGGTCACTCATACTAAAGTGATGAGCAAGACAAAACTGATCACTATCCAAATCAAATAGCGAAAAATAAGTTGGGAATTTTTATTTTGTATTAGTTTACTTTTTTTTTTCTTTTTTATTTGGTCTTTCCACCATAGCATAGTGGGCCTCCGAGGAAGGTTTTATAATCACAATAGTTCATGGCCTTCTTTTTCCTTTTCTTTAAGGTTTTTTCAGAAATGGTCCCACATTAAGTTATAAAGTTTTATGAATCGATAGGAAAAAATGTGGATATTTAGTATGAAGTCATATATAGTAAAGTAACGCCCGATCAGGAATGTTCTAAAAGGAGTACAAACTGTGCATTAACACAAGACCACAAAAGGCAACACATTAGCACACTTACAAGGATATAAATAAGTGCAAATACAACTTACAGTGTTTTATTTTAATTTTGTGCCAAGAGTTGACCAGAAGTAACAGAAAAATGCTGCCATATGCCTAAACTCAAACTTCAAAATTTTTCTCAACTAGCTAGAGCAGTTTTCAATTCAATCTTCAAAACATCAAGCACAAGGTTGTCTTCAGCTACTATAAATTCATTACCATCTCCCTAACATGAGGAAATAACTTTTTTGGATAAAAAAAGGACATCATCAACTAAATATCTACCAGAAATTCTTCAAAATTTATATCCAGACCAAATTTGACACTCTTTTGCAGCCACAGCTTTTAAACTTTGATTATCCACATCACAACCCTTCATATCCATCACCATAGCTTGCTCACCCTATTTTTCTTACAAAGTTTTTTCTCCCTATGTGATAGGAACGAAGGAAAAAAGTTAAATCACGGGAAATCACTTTCACATAAGCAGCCCTTGCATGGTCCTACACTATAAAAGGGCGGTTGTCTTCCATTTATGCATTTAATTTTTCAAAAAGTAGGCAAGTCAAGCTGCACAGTGTGTTTCAGGTGCATATTTACTAGATATATCATTTATGTCTTTGCTTGGCATCAAGTTTTGCACCTCTAAGTTCTTTAAAACATTTTGCTCTGCTCAATTTTCCCTACTAAAATCGAAAATTTCTTCTTCAAATTTCTAAAAAAGCATTTATTTTATGGTATGTACAGTACATGGTGTTACTAATTCTATGGTTTCCTCCATTCTTATCACAATTTTATTAATTACAGCTAGTCTGATATATACTATATTCACTTTTTAGTCAAACTCAGACCTTGGGCCTTTCGTTTTAAAGATCCTCTGGATTTGTTCCTCTAGTTTTGACATTCTCTTTATATTTATTTCTCAAATTAAAAACATTATTCTGATGCATAAAATGTTCATGCCTATAAACTATTATATACTTCCTCTTTGTATCAAGATTTTGCTGGACTTTAATAATCTTGTCTAGCTATTGTCTCGTCACTGACAACGATTATTTTTCATAGGGTGAACAGTCAGATCAACATAAGAAGGAAAAGCCAAAATGGCTTGAATCCTTTTTGCAAAGGACATTCTTTGGAACTTGTTCGATTCATGAACTTCAAAAGAACGAGTTGAACAGGTATTGCATTACTTGTGATTTATCTGCCTGCAGGTACTGCATTGCATCAGATTTCCATGAAGGACATGAGCTACTCAAGATTTATAGACATGTCTATAAAGATGTTGTTCCGCTCAGTGAAATGGAGAACCATATTGATTGTTCCAAAATTCAGGTACTTTTTAATGCAAAAACTTGAGGGCAACATACCTTTTGCTATGTAGACTATGCTGTATTTACAATGTGGATGCCTTTCCATAGTTTTCTTTTTTACTTTACCTTCTTTCCCAAATTAATGAAGCATGTAGACATCCCAAATTAACGAATAATCTAGACATTTTCATTCTTTAAGTTTATTCTGACTTTTTTGTATATACTTTGATGTAACTTTGTTCGAGCACATGATCATATAAAAAATTTACAAACTTTAGCACTTAAAAAAAAAAAAGGAGGATAAAACCTTCCACACCGTAGTTGACTGAGTCATAAAATTTATCCATTAATAAATAAAAACTCTAAAAAGAATAATAACGGACAAAATCTGTGCCTAGAAAACACAAAATATCCCAATTAAAAACCCTCATATTTGCATCTAAATTAGGAAGATGTGAATAAACACACACACACACACACACACACACACACACACACACACACACACACATATATATATATGGTTGTGAGATGCATATTGAAGGGAAGAAACAGAGTACTAACCTGAAGGTCATTGAGAAAACCCAATATAAAGGCAACAAAAACAAAATAGCTGAGAAACCCAAGTCTCAGTGTTTGGAAGAGAGTCTGGAAACAAATGAAAACAATCAATCAGAGGGAGTGTTGGATTATTCTGTAGTGCTACCATTTGGGTAAAATAAATAGGTAAAAAGAAACTCAAATGTATACTCACTGTTCTTAGATCAGTGTGGAATCAGCTAATTCCATTTGCAATATCCGCCTAATGAGATCATCCTAACCCAGCTGGAAGCCTGGAACCCAACGTGGGAATAATTCCTGTCAGTCTAGGTATAACGTTAGGCATTATGGAACAATGAACACGCGATCATAGTAAGATTCACTAAGAAGAGAGAGGAAAAAAGGTAAGTTTGGACGTCCATTACACTCAAACCATTACTCAAATTTGAGTAAAAAACTTAATTTGGTATAGCGGAACAAACCCAAATTTATACTTCTTTTCTTTTTAGAAATTTTTTTTCCTCTTCTTTCTTTCATCAACTGGAGACCACTGTCACTTTTATACAGTTAATTAGTTCACAATTCCTTGAAACAAATTCTCCTGAAATTACCATGTATGAGGTGTACAGGAAGAGTTACCTGAAATTACCGATGAACTCCAGGAGAATAGAAGCAGAAACAGAGGCAGAGGAGTGAAGCTTCTGATTTTTACCGTTAGGATTTAAAGGGGATTGAGTTTCCGTTCATTTGGGTTTAAAATTGAGTTTTTCCTGATTTGACTAGGGTTTAGATAGAGGATTAGAGATTGATTTTACGGCTTTTTAAACCCTAATTTTTTGAGTTTGATACGAATTTTTTATTTTTTTTTGGCTGGGAGTTTGATATGAATTTAGGTAGAGGATTGGAGACTGATTTTAGAGTCTCTTGTACTTAAACTTGGGTCTAAAAATGGAAAAATTACTATTGTGGGATGCAAATAGTTATAGGTGAATGTCAATATTTGGAAGGGAATATCACACTTTTTATCCAAAAAATTTAAAATTCTTTATTTTCAGAAATTAAACATTAATTTTCCCATAATAACACGTGAATTTGACGAAAATAATATTAAAAATTAGTGTGAAAGTCACGTTACAACTATTTAGAACATTTAATAGGATTAACGACACTATTTTTTAAAAAAATTATGCAATTTGAAGTGAAATTTAAGTTGATTGTGAATTCACCAACTCAAATTAGAGTATATGGACTAATTTTTATTTTTAGTTTAACCGTTAGGAGTGTTCGGACCAATTTATACGCACTTTAACTAAATCTCTCCCCAATTCAGTCAAAAGCAGATCATCTACGCTGAAATTAGGGTATTCGTAAAGGATAAATCTTTCATAACTCGATCTCAAAAATTATCAAAATTCAAACTCAATATATATGAGTTCACACATGCCGGGACTCAATTTTTGCACACACATCAAATAATAAACTACAGCTTTTTTGTTTCCTTCTCCCTACTAATAACAAGAATCAAACCTATGGGTTTCAAGTGCAAAGTTCTTTCATTCTCAAATGTACTTAATTTCTTCTTATTTCTCTTCCTGCCTATGTTAATATGCTTCTTATTTGGTTCTGTTGTCAGCCTTATAAGTGCAACAAGAAATGGGTTGTCGCATTGAACCCTCTTCCCCACTGTGGTTCTGGTTCTCAAGCTGATGGTGATGCATCCTGTGATATATGCAAAAGGAGACTCAATGATCCCACTCAATATCGCTATTGCTCTGTCGCTTGTAAGGTAAGGGAGGTGAGACGGACTTAACTACTCGTTGTCATTACTTTTTCATTCACTTCACTCGAAAGTAAACCAAATTTTTTTGGTTCATTTATGGTTAGACTTGAACCGAAACCAAAAACTTGAGCTCACATATTCAGAATAGTTTCGAGTTGCAATGCACTAAACCAATGTTTTTCAGGTGGAGGCACTTTCGAGTGATGCAGAAGAGGAAGGCAAAGAAGTTGGTGAGCCAGGGAAGCGAAAGCACAGAAGGAAGGGAGTACCTCAGAGGGCTCCTTTGTTCTAGAACTCAAATGTGCTTATTCATCATTTTATGTTCTAAAGCTTGGAACTAGAAGCATTGCATTTTCATGCCTCTGATTTCAAAACTAAGCTATAACTATGGCTCTATGTTTTTTTTTTGTGTGTGTGTTTGGATATAGCTCCGAGGGACAAAAGTTCAATAATGTGTTAACTTTAGATGGTTGTTTTTCTAGTAATTTACATCTATGCACTAGTGATTATATGAAATTAAGTTTTATCGTCAAGGTCCCGATACCAAGTATGAAACCCACAATACCTTTACATACATACAGTCACAAATTGGGTGATAGTCTTGTTGTTGGCCTACGTGTGATAAATGATTGTTAACTGCATATTTCTAACCTTGATTTGTGGGTTGAATGTTCATGAAAGACAATCGTGGTGGGTTGATCACATACACAATTTTGGATAGACTAATATTCTCAAGATCAACACCCCAACCCAAGTTGTGAGTTTCTGGCTTGACCCCTTTATGGGCTTCCAATGAAACTGAGAGTGCCATGAATCTGCCATTGCTACCTTTGTCAAGGGATGTCAACCCCTATGCAAACTAATCATCTTGCTAAAGAACTTTGAGCTCAGTGGTTATCTTCTTTATATCAGATTGCTATTGGGGCCAAAAATTGGAGTGGCTTTTGCTTGCAAGATGACTTTCAAAAAAGCACCAGTGACAAATTTCAGATGGTTTATTTTTCAGTGGTAAGCATCAGTAAAGACTAGTGTGCCCTATTGTGGCAAAAAACATCTTCAATTCATTCCCATATACCCATGTTCAAATGCTTTTAAAAAATATATATATACTTATGATCAATCAAAATGTGAAGGCACACCATTAAGTTAACTATTTTTCAATGAACTAAGTCTAACCTAGTTGGCTACTCTTGATTCTCTCAAGATTCGGTCAACAAAGAGAAAAAAGGGTCAATTCTTGTGAAAGGCAAGTCTTGATTAAGCATATTCTCCTTTTTGAGAGTTCTATTGTGCTCTCTTTCATTTTTTTTTTCCTTTTTCATCCTATATAGATATTTTATCTTACTAGTTGATGCAAAAGTGCATTGCACGTTAAAAATTAAAAAATTTTGAATTGTAATTTTTTTTATCGATGTTACGGCTATAAAAATAATATGTAGCTATTTTCAACCCATTTATTGATAATTTATGTGTGTAGTGGAGGTCAAAAAAATAAAAATAAAAAATTGTGTGCAGTGGAGGTATATATTTAATTATCAAGACTCAAAATAATTAGCACGAATAAATAATGATGCATACACAAAAAAATACTTCATATTTGAACGGGTCCAAACCGCTTGAATTTGACTAAGGTGAAGACACAAAAACATTAGTTGGTTTACCATCACATTAGCATTATCATAAGGAAAATACCATAACCAGCAAAAAAAAAAAAAAGGAAAATGCCATTTTTATCTAATTTGAGGACCTAAATTTAGATAGCTAGCTATTGGATTAAAGGTGGGCTTTATTTAACATTGAAACTCACAACTAATCCAATAGTTGTATCAAAGAAGATCACTGATTAAGTTCACGAATTAAGTGTCTATAGCATTGCTCTTATAATAAATAATAGTGTGAAAATATATGTTTTGTTTTACTTCCTGTTGACAAAAACAAACCATTTCAAAAAAATTAAGGCTCCAAATAACCCAAGTACACCCATATCATCAACTGAATGATCAAGCCAGATTAGCCCCAAATGATAAATAAGATGGTCAGAAGTATAGGGGTCCTAAGGTTCTAGGTGTGAGGTCAAAAATGCATAAGCATAATGTCTTGCTCCTAACACATAACTAAACGTACACACCAAAACAGGTCAAAATCTGAAAGAAACTACTAGTAAAGATTAACTTGATTTTGTGTCCAGCACTAATAGAAAATCAATGCTTTGTATGTTTCATTCCACCAAGAAAACTCCTAAACCAGTAACTTGAAACGGCTAATACAATATTTAATACATAAAAATAATTAGTGGCATAGTCTCTCATACACACTACAAACACAATTGTTTTTTTTTTTTGTGATCAGGAGCATTTTTAGCATAAAAGTTCATGCAATAAAGATAGCAATTGTCTCGTTCAAGTTGTTAATGATGGTAAAGTTAAGCACAACACATGAAGTTAAAAGGAATATATCACATAAATTGACAGCTGTGAGATTGAATCCATCGCGGACATGACATAATGTTCTTCTTAACAATGGAACTTGTGTCCTATCCTGCAAAATAACAGTTATTCCAATAAATTTAGCATTACCTTTTTTCACATTTTTGTGTGTGTGTGTGTGTGTAAGAGAGAGAGCGAGCAAAAGTACATTATGTAAAAAGCCTTTCAAGCTTTCATTTAAATTCTTTGAAAAGTCATACTTAGAACACTGACCCCAGCTTAACAACTCTTACCAAACTCCACCAACAATATCTTATCTTCTTCCAACAACTCAACCTCTAATACTTTGTGGAATATCCCAATAGGGGTGCGTCTCTTTAGGTGATCGTTGGTTCTTCATGGGCTTTGCAAGAGAAATCAACTGAGAGGTTCGGCCGCTTTCAAGACAGTGAGCCTGATATTGACATTTTAGCGGAGAAGAAGTGGGGAAAGTGTATGAGGTGAAGGCCTTTTAAGAGAGACCTATGACTTTCCTGCAAAGAAACTACTCTTAAATGATAAGACTATTAAATAACCACAAACAACTGGTGTTATTCTTTAGGGAAGCTGGAAAGTCTGTTAAATGGAAATACCATTAAAAACCCACAAACTGTAATTATATCTTGGAAGAAGAAAAGATGATACCTCAAAAGAGACCTATTAAATTCTTCGGTAGTTAGATCTTGACTTGTTCAATTGAATGGGATATAATGGACCATAAAAAATTTGTTAAGGTTAAAATAGGTAATCAAAAATTTTTCTGAATAGCTGCCTTTTAATAGTAGTAGTATATAGTATATATATAGTATAAATATGGATATAGAAGTTATAGTTGAGTTGTTATAAGTTATAATAGTTGATTATTCATTCAAATAGCAATCTATTGGACCCAAAAAAAAAACCATATTATCTGAGAATATCCTCATAACACATAACGGGAAAGACATGGTTTGTACAGACTTGTTCATAGGATAACTTACCTGAAAATTACAATCATGTATAGATAGATCATCAAAGGGATCGACTAAGTTTCTTAACTACATTGTGTGGCATGACATGAAGCTATTACATAGTATAAGTATGTGAAATTCAGAGTTAGTCCAATGGATATTGGTAGTCAGAAATTTATCCTCTAATCTTGACTCTTGACGTACAATAATTTTCATATTTTGGGAAAAAATAAAATCACGCGCACAAATACAAACACCAGCAGCCTTTTACACTCGATTAATGGGTTGAGTTTGTCTACCACTACCTCTCTTTTTTTTAGTTCAATAGTCAGGAATATTCAAACCAGCTTACATATAAAACGACTAATACTCATCTCGTTCTAGTCAAAAGCAGATCATTTATGCTGGAACTAGGGTATTCATAAGAGATAAATCCTTCATGACCTTACTTTAAAGAGTTGTCAAGATTCCAACTCGGGACGTCTGAATTTATAGTTCGTCCTAATAACTATTTGAATTATCCCTTGAAATTTTCGTCGGGACTAGTATATTTGGTACACTAGATTTACTCTTTTAATCGACGTAAAACGGCATCCACTTGTGTAAAGCAAAAAAATGGCATATTATTTGATTAAATTGAGTGGTTATTTGACAAAATTGAGTTCAAATTCAAATTACCTTGTTAAAATTCAGCTTAATTGGGTTACTAGGATTGGATCAAATTAAATTTTTTATTTTTAATGATTTGGATGTGGATTATAAAAGTGAAACCACTCCCATATTGGATAAGATTTTCACAAGTTAAAATCGGCACGCTTACGACACTTTAACATGACCGCAATTCCTTGTCACTTGAGGGAGTCACTGTAGAACGACTAGTAGTTCCATTGTGCACATAGGACGTCAGCTTAAGACGGCTTGACATTTGATACAAACATTGAAGAATCAGCTTCACTTTGTAACCACGCAATGGACCATTGCATGTCCTCCTGCTACTTCTTCACAACTTCATCCTCCCCTATATATAGTTATACTTGTCTCCTCACCACTTCAGCAAGCAAATAGCCATGATTCCACTACAGCAAGTTGTGGCTACATGTTCATCAATTCCCCTGTTGGGCAGTGTTCTCAGCAATCTCTTTCTTCTCATTTCCTCAAATCGTATCGAGTCTGGTGTGAGCTCCGAAGATGAGACCATGACGACAGACAAAGAGAGTGATAGAGGAAGTGATGGCAACGCAGCAGCTCAAAAGCATTTCCCACAAGTTCAACCCTACCTAGGAGCATAAAAGTAGCACAAAAAAAAAAAGCTTAAGTACATGAGACTCCCGCTATTGCAAGAGGCTAGTGGCATGATTAAGTTTTGGAGGTGCCTTGTAGCTGCTATATATCTACAGCAGTTTCTAGTCTAAGCCTCTGCCCTATTTCCTTTTTACNGGTTTAAGTACATGAGACTCCCGCTATTGCAAGAGGCTAGTGGCATGATTAAGTTTTGGAGGTGCCTTGTAGCTTCCAACCTGTGCTTCAACTGCTATATATCTACAGCAGTTTCTAGTCTAAGCCTCTGCCCTATTTCCTTTTTACTCTTGTTTCATTCCCTTGTCATGGCTACTATATATGCTGAAATGTTGCTGGCGATCTCAAGGGCTTTCTGTGTGTTTGCTAATTCATAGAAACCTCTGTTACCATGCAAGAACTACTCTTTAATACGAATAATGGCTTTTCAACAACTTTATACGTCACACCCTTTTGAATCCATTGTTTAGAGGTGAAACTGAATTGTGAAGGCTTCAATAGCTTCGAACAATATACGTGTAATACCATTCCCAAGACTACTTAGACGTTACTCATATCATATCGGATTCCCCTAATTGACGACATGGTGATAATTCTAGTAAAATGCTTGTCATTTTACCGATTATCTGGGAGCTAAAAATTTTTTAAAAAAATTAGGGCAAACTTCACTTTACCTCTATGTGATTTACCTGTTTTCCACATCACCTCCCTATCATTTAAAAATAGCCACATAACGCTCACCTAGTTAGTGGACTCCTAACTCGGTTAACTTGGTGGCTAGATTTCAGCCTTGATTTGTGGGCTGAAAGACAATCGTGGTGGGTTGATCACATGCACAATTTCGGATTGACCAATATTCTCAACATCAAACCACCCCACCCCAACACAAGTTCTAAGTTTCTGGCTTGACTCTTTTCTGTGCTTCCAAAGAAACTGAGGGTGCCGTGAATCTTCCATTGCTACCTTTGTTAAGGGATGTCAAGCCCTACACAAACTTATCATCTTGCTAANGAATTGACCAATATTCTCAACATCAAACCACCCCACCCCAACACAAGTTCGAAGTTTCTGGCTTGACTCTTTTCTGTGCTTCCAAAGAAACTGAGGGTGCCGTGAATCTTTCATTGCTACCTTTGTTAAGGGATGTCAAGCCCTACACAAACTTATCATCTTGCTAAAGAAATTTGAGCTCAGTGGGTGTCTTCTTTATATCAGATGGCTATTGGGGCCAAAAATTGGAGTGGCTTTTGCTTGCAAGATGACTTTTAAGAAAACATCAGTGACAAATTTCAGATGGTTTATTTTTCAGTGGTAAGCATAAGTGAAGATCAATGTTCCCTGTTGTGGCAAAAAACATCCTCAATTCATTCCCATATACACGGTTAACTCTTTTCAATCAACTGAGTCTAACTTAGTTGGTCACCCTTGATTCTATCNAAAAAACATCAGTGACAAATTTCAGATGGTTTATTTTTCAGTGGTAAGCATAAGTGAAGACCAGTGTTCCCTGTTGTGGCAAAAAACATCCTCAATTCATTCCCATATACACGGTTAACTCTTTTCAATCAACTGAGTCTAACTTAGTTGGTCACCCTTGATTCTATCAAGATTCTGTCAACTACGAGGACAAATGATCAATTTTTGTCAAAGGCAAGTCTTGATTAAGCATGTTCTCCTTTTTCAGAGTTTTATTGTGCTCTCTTTTGTTTTTTTTTTTTCATCGTATATGAATATTTTCTCCTATGTTGTAGTTGAATTGTTCTAAGTTGTAATAGTTGATTATTCATTTAGACAATGATTTACCGATACATGAGCCAACAAAAAAAAAAACCCTATATCAAGTGGGATATCATCTTAACAGATGATGAGGAAAGGCGTGATTTGTACAGGCTTGTTCATAGGGTAACTCAGCTGATTATTACAATCATTTATAGATCATCGAATGGATCAGCTAGGTTCCTTAACTATATTGTGTGGCATGACATGAAGCTATTACATCTTAGAAGTATATGAAATTTATTGTCAGTCTAATAAATATAAATATCCAAAATTTCACCCTGAAATCTTGACGTATACATACGACAGAATGTGGTCTATCAGACTAATCAGATGTAGACAAGAGGTGCGTTCTATCAATAACCGCATAAGTAATGGTGAATCAAGGCTCGCTTGGTCTCCTAAATTCTCTCATGTAGATAGGAGTCTTGTACACTAGACATATTTTTTTAATCAATGTAAATCAACACCCACTTACGTAAAGCAAACAATTGACTCATTATTTGATTAAATTGTGTGGTTATTTTATACAATCGAGTTAAAATTCAAATGTAATTGTTAAAAGTTAGCTTAAGTGAGCTAACAAGATTAGATCAGATTGAATTTTTTATTTTTAATGATTTGAATATGGACCATAAAAGTGAAACAATTCTTGTATTGATTAAGATTTAGACGAGTTAAAATTCAATCTATTGACACATTTATGACGCCTTAACATGATTGCAATTTCTTGTCTTGTGGGGTCACTATTGAACGACTAGTAGTTCCATTATGCACATGCTTGACATTTTGACACAAACATTGAAAAATCAACTTCGCTTGGTAACCACGCAATGGACCATTGATATATACAGGTCCTCCTGCTGCTACTTAGCAACTTCATCCNACCTTCACTTGGTAACCACGCAATGGACCATTGATATATACAGGTCCCTCCTGCTGCTACTTAGCAACTTCATCCTCCTCACCACTTGAGCAAGCAAATAGCNAACTTCGCTTGGTAACCACGCAATGGACCATTGATATATACAGGTCCTCCTGCTGCTACTTAGCAACTTCATCCTCCTCACCACTTGAGCAAGCAAATAGCTATGATTCCACTACAGCAAGTTTTGGCTACATGTTCATCAATTCCCCTGTTGGGCAGTGTTCTTAGCAAACTCTTTCTTCTCGTTTCCTCGAATCGTATCGACTCTAGTGTGAGCTCTGAAAACAAGACCATGACAAAAGACAAAGAGAGTGATAGAGGAAGTGATGGCAACGCAGCAGCCCAAAAGCATTTTCGACAAGTTCAACACCTACGAGGAGCCTAAAAGTAGCAGAAAAAATAATGGTTAAATGCACGAGACACCCGATTACAAGAGACTAATATCATGATTATGTTTTGAAGTTGGCTTGTAGCTTCCAACTTGTGATTCAACTGCAATCTACAGCAATTTCCAGTCTAAGCCTCTGTCCTATTTCCTATTCACTCTTCGTTTCATTCCCTGTTCATGGCTACTATATATGGTGAAATAATGTTGCTAGTGATCTCAAGGGTTTTCTGTGTTTGTTTCAACATGAAATCTCGTTATGGACTCATGAAGCTATTATAGTTCGTAGAATCTAATTCCCTATATATTTTTCCATTCTTGTTTCATCTACCAAAAATTCCTAAAACCCTTTGTTACCATGCAATAACTAGTCTTCAAAGATGAAAAATGTTTTTTTTTAAACAATTTTATGCATCACACCCTTTTGAATCCATTGTTTAGAGGTGAAACTGAAGGAGCTAATGCCTTTTTTTTCCTCTTTGGTGTCTGAAACCTTCTGAGCCTCAAAACTTAAAGCAAGGCTACCCGCTGAATGATTTTGTCCAAATGATTCACTGAAATATAAACAATCAAACAAAGTTGAAGCTAATTTCAACAACTTGGTTCGAGATGTAGATCACAAACGCAAGCTTGAATTAATCCAAAGAAACAGCCAACAAATCGCCAAATAAAAAGAGATTGCAAACAGAGCAATTATATATGTGGACCATATGTTTCATTGGAGCTATGAATGCATCGACAAAACACGTGCATCATTTTATTTATCTTCAACTGAACACAAGGATGATACAAAGGCCATGGTACAGGTATAAAATTTTACTGATCGCATCATTGCTAATGTGTTTCACTGATCAAGTACAATTTCTGACCATCACTGATCATATCCACATCAAGAATTTTACCAGCATCTTCTGATAATATACAAGAACCAGCTGATATGTTTAACTGCTCTGCTGCCGTTTTAAGGAGCTCTCCAATTGTGTGTGGAACCCACAAAACGATTCCATTTCTTCTATTTTCCTTGGGGTCCCATGGGTGGAATGGGAACACTGTGCATTTCCTCAGGTGCATTTTATCTAGTATCAGAAAACAGCTCCTATTGTTAACCGGCTAGCAGTAGTGGGCGAAGTAAGCTAAAGAAAACCTTTGAATTTAAAAGATATACGCCGATACATTTGTGTGAGAAGCCAGCTTTTCCTTTATTTGCAGTCAAACAAAATAATTCATGTAATATCGGTTTCTTTCGGCATAATGAGCATTGAACATCATGTTGTGACAATACCTGTGATTTCTTGGGAACAGTCAGGAAATTGAAACAATTGAGTAGATTTTGCTTCTTCCAATAGTTTGATCATATTCTTGTTTCCACACATTCTCCATTCATCAAGTGGGGTGTTTCCCCATCTGCAAATCACAAATGGCCCAACAATATTTTAGTTGCGGGCATAACTTATGAGTTTAAGAGCATACATATAACAAGCTGTGCCTTTCCGTTATCAATAGTTATGAGCTTTTAATGCTGTTAGACTAACCACGAAACTCAAGAAAGACTCGTGATCTGCTATGTTCTGAAGAATCAAACTTGAATATAGTAAAAGCTAGTTGATTCACTGAGGATGACTGGCACAATAAGCTAATGACCATCTTGAGCTTAAAATTTGAATAGCAGAACCTGAACAGAGATCAAAAAGAGTAGAATCTAACTCAAGACAAACAAGCCAAGCCCAAGGTTCATTTTTTAAGTTTGTTAGCATTGCAAGCCAAGGTTGTGCAGTGCACCACCCAGTTTGACTCTGATTGTTCACAACTCCCTGTTATACATGCTTACACTGAGTGAGAGACTTCCAACCTCATCCTTCCCCCCCCCCCCCCCCCCCTTTTTTTTTTTTTTTT